AACTGCTGCTGGGAAGACTGGCACGCACGCTATCCACTGAACTACATCTCCAGCCTGAAAGTATTTTCTTCATTTTGTTTTCGGAGCGCCTTTTGCTAGTACCTAGGATCCAGTTGAATTTTGCTTTGCAAACTTCATTTATTGCCAAAGATTGTGTATGTGTGTTTTCCTTTTTTTTTCTAACTTAATCATGTGATCTTCAAATACGGAGTTCCTTTCCAAAGCAGGCTGTATTTATTTATTGTCCACTTGCACTGGCTAGAATTTCACTGACAGCATTGAACAAGGATGATGAGAGCAGACATTTCTGACCTCAGGGGCAGCCTTCCAGCATCTCACATGTCATGCATGGCATCCACTGTGGATTGGTTCTGTTGTTTTTAAGCACTTCATAGCAAGTTAAGGAAATACATTCAACTCCTAACTTAAATAGGCAGAAATATCAGTATCCATTTTATGTATTTTTGAGATAAGGTCTCACTGGTGGAGCTCTGGCTGGCTTGGAACTCACTATATAGACCAGGCTAGCCTCAAATGCACAGAGATCTGCCTCTGCCTCCTGGATGCTAAGATTAAAGGCAGGTGCCTTGCTTGGCTAGTATCCCCATTTTAGATGGGAAAGCCAGTCTCAGAGGTTAAGCCTCTTACCCCTGGGTCACAGACCTTGTCAAGAGCTAGCCACTTGAGAGAGTAGCACTTGAGGCTCTAAACTGGAGCTGTTAGCAAGGCCTCTCCAGTGGGGCAGAGGGTCAGCCTAGGGACAACCTCTGATTCTGTCCTTTTGGTCCAAATCCAGTCTAAGATTCTAGCTGCAGGAATCAGGATGACAGTGATGGGGAATGGGGGCAGATGACTTGTTATTTTTGCTGAGAGTCTGGGCCTTGTGCCATGGGGAGGAATCTCTCCTTAGGAGAGGCGAGGGGACCGGGTAGATAAGCATCTCCTCTGAGGTGGAGGGAGGCTCAGCTTTGGAGAGTTCTAGCAGTGAACTAAACTTGCTGAGGCTAGGTTCAACTTGACCTCTACAGATAGACAATAAACTGGGCCTGATAGCACAGCCTATAATCCCAGTCATACTGGAGGCTGGGACTGAAGCTGGAAAGTTAAAGACCAGTTTATTGTAGAATATTATTTTAAGATGTGTTACATTTGTTTATGCTGTGAACATTTGTTTTAATGGTGCAAAGATGTGTTGCATTTTTTTATGTTGTATTTAACTCTGTATTACTTTGCCTGTCTAGAACACCTGATGGTCTAACAAAGAGCTGAACAGCCAATAGCAAGGCAGGAGAAAGGATAGGTGGGGCTGGCAGGCAGACAGAATAAATAGGAGAAATTTGGGAGAAGAGCAGGAGAGATCAAGGAACATGAAAAGAAGGAGCCAACCACGGGGTAAGAGTAGAAATAAGACTATAGAAGTAAGAAAATAAAAAAGCCCAGAGGTAAAAGGTAAATAGGATAATTTAAGAAAAACTGACTGGCAGCAAGCCAAGCTAAGGCCAGGTATTTATAAGAAAGAATAAGACTCCACGTGTGTATTTATTTCAGAGCTGAGTGGTGGACCCCAAAGAAGCCAAAAGAGTAAAACAACCAACACCACCAGCCAGGGTAACTTAGTGCCTCAAAATTTAAAGCAGAGAGGACTGGGAATGTAACTCTTGGTAGGATGCTTGTGAGAATTTCTGGAATCAATGGAACAAAACAAAAAGAAAAAAAAGACCTCTAAACAACCTCCCAAAATAAATAAATCATATAGAGAACTCTGTATTGACTAGCATCTACAGCCCATCGTCCCTGTGGGGCTAGTGCTTGGTCAGTGGTTCCTGGATACCACAAGATGCCCTGAATCCCGTTCTAAAGGATCCTTGAGGCTCAGAAAGAAATGAGAAGGTCTCGGAGTCCAAACTCCACTAAGCTTCTCTGTCAAAAAGTGGAAGTAGGAGCTAGAAAGCTTAACCACACTCACTCTTACAGAGGAACCAGGTTGTTACCAGCACCCACAGGGCACCTCACAACCATCTGCCTCTCCAGTCCCTCTCTATCAATGCCCTCTTCTGACCTCTGAGGGTACCAGGCATGAATATGGTGGACAGGTGTACATACATGCAGGCAAAATACCGATACACATAAAATAATAAGTCTTTAAAATATACGGAGCCTGGCATGGTGGCACAATGCCTTTAATCCCAGCACCTGGAAGGCAGAGGGAGGTAGATCTTTGTAAATTTGAAGCCAGCCTGGTCTACATAGTGAGTTCTAGGACAGCCAGAGCTATATAGTGAGATCCTGTCTCAAAAAGAAAAAAAGCCAGAGAGCTGAGGCTTGTGCTTGTGGATTGAATCCTGAAGCCTGAAAGTGGTTGCTTTTAGGGTTTCCAGGGTCCTAGTGTCTGTGGCTCAGTATTGGAGCACACAGACCTTGTTTGAGCGCCCCCTGTGTGGTCACCTCTGTATGAGTAGGTATTATCCAAACTGCCTGATACTTGGACCCTTGATAAGAATCTGGGAAAATTCCTCCTTCCTCTTCCAACATCTGGCTGCCCATCAGTTGTCTGGTGTCTGACCCTCGTGGACTGGAATTACCCAAGTAGGACCTGTCCTTGAAGCACTAAGGGAAGACGGCTTTCACAGCAGTGATGTTGGCATGGCCCTTTGCCTATGGCTCCCTCATCTGCTCCAGCTGCCACCTTCAAGCTGCTGAGGATGGATGTAGAAACTTACCCAGGCATTCCTAGATCCTGGCTCCCCCAGATGTCAACGTCTGTCCTGTCCCCTGTTGCTCCCCCACCGCCTGAGCAATCTCCCTGACTCCCCAATGAAGCAGCCTCATTTCTTTTTGACAGCCTTTCCTTGGAACAAAAGCTGGAAGTCTATCTATCCCTCCATCAGGGGCTGAGCCAGACTTCAGGGAGGTGGGAACTAGACTATTGGGAAGGGTCCCTTTGATGCTTTTTCTTGGTGTGATGTTCCTAAAAGTCCAGGACCTTGGGATCTCTCTACCCTGGGATGTGGTATAGTAGTCACCACGCATAGCAAGCCTGCTCAGCCACCATAGCCTGGAACCTAGCCACATAGCTGACCTTCACCGCTCAAATGGACACTACAGCTGTAGAGATTTGTTGAGTGGTGGCGATGAGGTGGCCATCATGCTACCTAGACACGCCTAGACACTCACCCCTGGAGAGTCCTGCTACTGACTGGGGGATAACAGAGAAAGGAGACTGTTCATCAGGGCAGACTCTTGAAGCAGGTGATGCAGGAGTTAGGGCTGTGTATCTTCCTTACGAGGATTGTGGCGTTTTCTCCATCAAGGGCATACCTGGCTTAGACATGCTTCAGTCCCTCACCATTGTCTTTGAGAACTGACTATTATTATTTGTTTTTTTTAATTGATTATAATTTTTTGAGCTAGAGTCTCATGTAGCCGAGGCTTGTCTGATCTTCCTGCTGTAGCCTCCTGAGTGTTGAGATACAGGTGTGGTTTTAAGATTGTTTAAACATTGATTGATTCTCTATATGAGCATGCTTCTTCTGTTACCTGTATATGGAGGTTGGGGGACAGCTTGAGAGAGGCTGTTTTCTCCCACCATATCAGCTTCCAGAGATTGGACTCAAGTTGTCAGGCTTGGTGGAAAGGACCTTTATTCATTAAACCTAATTTTAAAAAGTTCTTTTTATTGTTTATTCATTGATATGTGTGTTTACGTTGGCATGCCGTGGTACGTCACCAGTGCTTAGGTTATAGGTGTGTGTTACCACATCCAACAAGATTTGGCTGCTCTTTTACCTTTCTGATACAGACATTTGTCCTGGGTTCAGCTGAGACTGGGCCCAGACCATTTGTAGTCAAGGTAACGCAGGTGTAAAATCTTCCTCCCAGGAGATGCTCTCTGGGCACTCTCTGCCTTCAGGAAGCTCCAGCCAGTGCTGAGAGGCCAATCATAGATACTTGCATGTCAGTATGATGACAGTAAGGTCTAGGGAGGGTGTCCCTGGGAAGAGCCTTTTAACTAACGACATGTTGGTCAGGATGAGTAGGAGCTGGCTACTAAGAAGGTGTGGCGGTGTATGAAAAAGGATGAGTATGTTCCATGTACATGACAAACCCTAAAGTCCTAAGCAGTGGAGGCACTGACCTTAACTGAGTTCTGTGGCACACCAGACTTGGTGCCAGGGTTTTGTGTACATTATATCAGCCGATGCTCTCAACAGCCCAGGGCTTTTCTTGGCAGAGCTCTGGGTGTTACCAAATGCTACTGCATCTATCTAGGCTCTCTCATCCTCAGTCTGCTTTTGGTGCATTTGTCCTGGGGTAAATACCACCTCCTCATGGGTATGGTCCTATTCTGTGACCGCTAAACTCCATTCACGAGCATTTTTGTTGCCTCTGTTCATAAAGATCACTTATGTGTGCTGCTTCCATCCGGTGATCCTGGCTACATAGCGTGACTTAGAAGGACTCTGCACAACTGTTTTTGGAAGAGATTGTGAAGAGGGTGTTGGTTCTTTAAGCATTTGGCAGCGTTCACCAGAGACCCACCTGGCCATGGCTTTTTTGTGTGTGTGTGGGAAGGCTCAAGCTATTAGAAATTACTCAGATTTTGTGTCTTGAGTCAGTTGTGATATTTGTGTCATTCCAGGAAGCCATGTTGAGCTTCATTATCTAGTCGTGGTTGGAATCCTTTCACACTCCTTCAGATTTCTCTTCTTGCAGTTAGAAGCAGTGTGTTTACTGTCAGTCCCCACACACAGCTTCACCTCCTGCATAAGCAGAGGGTTCCCTAATGTGCTTAGCAGTGAGCATCAGCTGGAGAGTGGGGACCTAGGAGTAGCCTGGGTTAATTTCCTCCTGTCTGTCTTGTGAATCCTGTTCCCACAAAGAAGGGGCATAAATTCTTTTGTCACTTTCTTAATGACACATGAGTAAAAGACTGTAGGTTGTTCCTGACAAGCTGGTCTTTCCTATTAGTGACATTGGTGCTAATTTCTCTTTTCTCTTAGGTGTTCACCTCCCATGGCCCCACAGTGATCATGCCCACGTGGTTCTGCTCTCGGGCCTGGTTTTCCCATGTGGGCCTGTTTGATGAAGGAGGACAGGTAAGTGCCAACCAGTAGAACTTGGGCTCTTTCTGGGTTCCCCTAGGTGGCGGGTGTGTGTGTGTGTGTGGGGTGCCTGCAGGGCACCGATAATCAGGCCAGGATTTTCAGGAAATCACTTCAGACTCTTTCCTGTAGCACAAATAATAAAAACCCAGAGACAGAACTTGGGGTTCACAACCTGAAGGTCAGAAAAGCAAAACAGCCAGTCCCTGACTCTTACCTCACTTTAGTCCAAAATGACGATCCTGCCTCCAAGAATCTCAGAATGAGACTGTGTCTGTGAGCTGTCACCTTCCGTTTTATATTCCTTTCTAGGGCTGGGATTAAACACCTGGTTTCTGTGGCAAACTAGTGTGGCTACTCGGATTAAAGGTGTGTGTCATCATTGCCTGACCTCTAGTGGCTTTAGCCTTGCCTCTGGTCTTCAGGCAAGATTTATTTATCAAAATACAAGTATACCACTACACTTTCCAGCACCCCCGTGGTACTCATCATTGTGCTAATTGCAGTGGGTTTCGGTGAACATGCTTGGAGCCACAACGTCTCTGGTGCATCTTGGCTGTGGGCTCACGGTACCTCAGCTTGCATTAATGCTGTTGGTGGGAAACTGTAGGTGGTAAGGAAGGTATTAGCTACTTTGTCTCTACCTCTGGGTCTGTTGAATCCTCAGGGCTGGCTTGTATCCTGCAGGGAGCCGGCTAACAGGCCATATGGCCTTGCTGTCCTCCAGCCCCTGCCTAGCAGTAGTGAACATTCTCACTCCCAAGCAACATCTCTGCTGGTGAGCCTGACCCCAGTCTGAGCTAAGCCCATCCTCAGATCTGTTTTGTGTTATTTACTCTCCCTTTTGAAACCAGTTTGAGTAGGTATTGATTTTTCCATCCAAAACGTTCCCACCTCCACACCTTCCTGTTTGTTAAGGCTGTATGATACGGCTCAGAGACCTGTCTCAAGTTTTGTTTCTGAGCACATTGGTGTTTATATGGTGTGGAAGGAAGTGAATTTTCATCAAGGCAGTATTTGTTCTGCTTGAGACAAGTGTACTTTTCACCTCCATGTCTTTCTGCTTATTTCCTGGTTCCTAGCTCAACATCGCCCCCTTCTGACCAGGATGTTAAAATACAACCTTGTAACAGACTGAACTCAGGTGATATCCTTGCCTTCTGACGCATCCAGTCTCTCCCCTTTTCAGCATCTCATTGAGGGCCTCCTGGGAAACAAGCTAACCATCCCCTTTTTTGCCACATTGATGAGATCTCCATTTTCCAAGGCCATGCAGCTCTGTGTTCACTGATTGCTGATAGTTTGCCCCAAGACCTTTTCTGCCCCACAGAGTAGAATTTAAGGCAGGACTGGACTTAAGATCCACACAACAGCCTACCCTCTGCTTCATCCTTATGTCTTAGAGTTCATTCCTTACCTGCTGAGGAACAAGTTACTAATCTCCATTTCTTTCATGTGACCTGCACCAACCTACATCACCCTTGAGTATCAACAGTGGATTCTTTTATTGAGGCAAAGTCTGGCTGTGGCATTCAGGCTGAGCACTAGCTTCTGGGCTCAAGCGATCCTGTGAGCTCTGCCTCCCAGAGAGCTGGGGCCACAGGGGCCACCATCCTTGGCTCTAAACATAACACCTTTCCACAGCTCCTGACGGCCTGGGTCAGTACCCAGCATGGTGAACACTGTCCTCTGGCTTTTTCAGGGGGTACCAGAGGACTTGCTGTTCTTCTATGAGCACCTTAGGAAAGGGGGCGGCGTCTTCCGTGTGGACCACAACCTGCTCCTCTACCGCTATCACCCGTATGCAGCCACACACTCGGTCCTTGAGTAAGTAGGACATACCAAGTCCTGGAAATTCCTGGGACGGCAAGGACAGGTAAGGTGCCGGTGTGGCCGGGCCCAGACCACTTGTAAGTCACTGGTGTGATTGGAGTCAGGACTTCATGAAGCTCATAAGGGTGGGGTGTAGGGAATACCACTGAGGAGGAAAGTGGTGGGGTCAGAGTATACTGTAGCACCTCATAGTAAGTCCTTCAGGGCTACCGGATGTCCTGTTTCAGAGGTCAGGAAATACCAGTGCCAAAGCCAAATACCGGTTTCCCTGATTGTTTGGGGTGAAGGCTTGCTCTCAGCTTTGTTCTCATTTGCTCTAACCTAGCGCAGCTCACCGTGGGACCCAAGAAAAGATCTGATGGGCTAACGACGGACCCCGTTTCACTTTTCTTTGGCACGGGCCATCTGTCCTTGGCTCTCCAAGCCCACTGGTTAAAGATGTAGAACCAGGCTTGCTCTTAGTATAAAAGAGAGAGCTTCTTAACTCTTCAGTCTGTGCTGTGTGTGAGACAGAGGTGTGTTACAAGAGAACGAGCAACAGACCATGGTTCTCACTAAAACCTCAGTCACATGAGCAAACTAGGTTCAGAAGTGCGAATGAAACAAACCAAGAGTACAGCTGTCTTAAAAATCGGCTAGTATAGGTTTATATTCATCCTGTGTAAACTATACCTGCATTAGAACACACAGCAGTGTTTCTCCCAAGAAGGAACCCCTTCCCAGTGTCCACTGATAGAAGTAGAAATTAGTCCCAGAACACTGTGGGAGCTATCTGGGCACCAAGCTGCGGGTGTTTCTGGTACTGATTCTACTGGCTGACCGAAACACTACACTCATCTCCTGTCATCCCGTAGGCCACGTGAGCGTGAGCGGCCTTGGGATGCGGCCATTTGTATAACGGGGGTCCTTCCCATGCTCGTCCATGAGTCTCGACTCCTGGGTGGTGGCTTGCAGCCCACCCAGCAGGCACTCCTCACGCCCTCAGCAGAGCGGCCTGTGTAGACAGAGTTCATGCCTTTGTGTTTTCACAGTAAGCTTTGCCACCCACAGCATAAAAATAAGTGATCTAATGTGAGTTTCTGTGTTGGATTAAAGTCTTTAAGCTGTGAGCCGCACCACCTCCCAGGATAGCAGCTGTAATTACAACGTGAGGCTCGCTGGAGAGTTGTCTTTGTCTAATCTATCAGAAGTCTTCAGGTGGCAATACCTCGATTCTGTCGTTTTTATTTCAGGCTCAAAATGGCCTGAATTTGTGTCATTTGTCTTTGTTCATGTGTGTAATACCTCAGATACCAAAGGACATAGAGAGAATAGCCCCTTCAGGAAATCAAGCATTCCTTAAACTCGTGAGCTGTTGAACCGACTGTCGCCACTTCATCTGGTGCCTTCATTCTTTCACTGAGGGTTCTTTGGTCTTACGATATGTTTAACCTTTTATGATACCCAGGCTGCTTATATTCTGCAAGCTGTTAGCTTCCCATTATCACAGTTGAGGTCTGAAGAGAAGTATGTTTCTGACCTTGTTCCCTGGCAGTATGAGGCTGGGTTCGTGCTTTTCTCAAATATTTGGAGAGAACTAAATGGGGCCCTTTCCCCAGATAAGTGCAGCAACAAGATGCACCTCAAAAGTAGGAATGAGGGGACCAGACACGTCCTGACCCCTGGTATTCAGCCCAAGACGGCTTGTGCTGACATACGGCTGCTGTGGTACCTGATGGGACAGGTGGGCCATCCCCCATGTGCCTCTGGCAAGATTTTTACAGCCTTTTGTTTCTGGCCACAGATGCTACTGACCAGTGACCATGCCTTCTGGGAATAGGGGCCTTTCGCACCCCACCAGCCACCGCTTACCCATGGACTCTTGTGGGTGGTACAGTGCTGAGTCTGTGATCTTTCAGTCTCAATGTGGACATTTGGGTCCAAGAAAACCAGTTCCCTTAGCTGTTGACCCCAGCTCTAAGTTGATGGTCTCCTAACAAAAAGACACAAACTTGCTGGATGCCAGATGGCCTGTTCTCCAGGCAGATTCCTAGGGGAAACAAGACCAGTGCAGGATGCTCTAGCAAGGCCCAGATGTCCTGCAGTTTCTGCATCACACCTTTTAGTAACTGCACGCAACCCCCCTTCCCGTTAGAAACCACCTAACAAAACTCAGGATGCTAAGAGCCTTACAGCTAGAGCCCAGTCCTGGTGGACAGGTTTGGGATTGCAGTATAAAGTCATTGGTGCCCAGGGTTTTGGGAAACCAAGTTGACTTCACTGTCCAGTTAAACCCACCATCCTGTAAATAAGCTTCACAGTAAGCTTCACAGACGGAGCATAGCAGGATCAGGGTTTTTTCTCACACAGAGATACCCCAGTGGACCCAGCGAGTGCGTGGGCAGGATCTCACCAACACATCATCCGTGCTTAGTCTCTAGCAGGAGCTGCTGTTGTACATGTTTACTTACCTATGACCATGTCACATACATACATGCAGAAAGGCACATGGGCAGTCACGGCACGTGTGCACATATACCGCACAAGAGCACTGTGCATGTACCCTCATGGATTTGATGCATACATCACATCTTGCTCAGGGGACTGACCAGAACAGACCTCTTGAAGTGACCAACGCTATGGGAACAAACTCTCAGGGTATCCTCAGAGGTCAAGTGAGGACAAGCAGCCCTCTAGCCGCGTCTAGGCAGGGCATTCCTTGAGGAGCCCGAGAGGACATAGAGATGCCTCATAGCCCCTGCTACATCTCCTGTGTTCATATCCATGAACCCTTCACAGTGTGCTGTCTCCATGCAGGTTTCCTGCAAAGGCCCTTGCTGGAGGCAGAAGGGAAGGGGTGCTTGGGGCTAGGATGAGATGGAGGTTGGCTTGCTGGCATCTCACAGGGTCTGAGAAGCCTGTGCCTGGGGTTGCTTCAGCCTCATTTTGTTGAGAACCCTCACCTACACTTAGAGCAGACAGACAGGTGTGTCAACACCTCTGCTGGGGGGTGCCAACTAGTCTTGATCTTTTGCCTTTGACTTTACCCTCCTGCCTTCTGCTCCCATATTGAAACTGGCTGGGCCCATCACTCTAAAGTTTGCTGAGAGATACAAATCAGAAGGTCCTTTCTTGGCTTATGACATTGCTGAAGTATCTGACCCTTGCTTGAGGTCTGGTGTGAGATCAAGGTTCTCACTCTCAGGGCCTTCCCTTTCCTTGGGTGACAGTATGGCTGCAGAGGTATATGTATGGGGCTGAAGCAAGTCCTGTGTGTGACTTTCTCTTATAAAGGGGGCACTGCAGCCATCGAGAGAACTGGCTGGGGTTCTGGCTGGGGTTCAGGATTAAATGTTGTTCCCCAGAACCTCCAGGGAATCCCCTACCAAAACCACTGAGCTAGGCACAACCCTAATTAGAATGTTTTCACACAGGAGATCTCAGGGAGATGCTGAACAGGCAAAGCATGCTTTGATGTGGGTAGTGACGTCAGGAGGCACAGCCCTGAATACAAGGGAGGCACCATCCAAAGGACAGAGTGCTAGGGTCTGGGAGGCCCTTAGATGAGGGGCAGCAGGTGAGGAGATCTCAGGAGAAAGAACCAGCCCTGGAGATCTTCATCCAAGGGCCTACTGTGCCCAGAAAGGGACCTCTAGGGTAGAAAGTTTATTTCCTAATGTGACTATGACCTTACCCAGGCCTTCCTTGTGAGTATTGACTCCTCTGTGAAATTAGCCCAGGGTGGTTTGGTCCACTCTCACTCCTTTTCTCTTTCTAACTCAGAAGGACTAGTTGCCACATTTAGAATTTGGAACCTGGGGAGATTGAACTTAGGTCCTCATGTTTCTGCAGCAAGCACTTCACTGACGGAGCCAGGTTCAATCTCTAGCACCCACATAAAAAGCCAAGGCAACACACACCTGTAACCCCAGTGCCGAGAAGGGAAACAGGATCCCTGAAGCTTGCTGGTAGTCTTGCTGAGTTGGCGAGCTCCAGGTTCAACCCTGTCTCAGGTAGGGTAGAGAATGATAAGATACCTGATGCCAGCCACTGGGTTTTGCATGAACCCTCCTGTTTGTGCACACGTATACACACCTGCCACATACTGGAGGCACTCGTGTGCTGGTGGAACTGGCAGCTGTGGAGAGGCCCCCATCCATCAAGTCTGTATTTCTCAGGGTCCCAAATAGAAATTGGGATCAGTATGAGTGGCTAAAGGCTTCCCAAAGAGCATTGCTGTACATGGTGGCTCATGGTGACCTCTAACTATGACAGTGGTAGGTAGAACCAGATCTCCCTTGGTTTACACTTCATGTAAGCCGTTCACGTGTGTCCCCAGGACTAAGGGGTAAGGTGGCTCTGGAGCCCACATCTGGCCAGCCCTAGCTTTTCCCTCTGCTTGGCTACAGGGTGACCATCTGGACCCACCGTGTCCACTTCCTAGAGGAACAAGTCCTGCCCCGTTGGAAGTGCTTCACCATTTGGAATGCAGGCAAGCAGGGGCGTAGGTTATACCGCAGCCTGACAGCAGCCAGCCGGTGCAAGGTAGGACCCTGTCCTCCTCATCCCGTTGGCCACTCTCCTGACTCCCTCAATCCTGTCATGTCTTTACCGTACACCCGCGACCACCATCTGACCTGCCTGTCCGTGTTCACCCCCAGGTGGTGGCCTTCTGTGATGTTGATGAGAACAAGATCGGAAAGGGCTTTTACTGCCATGAGGAGTCTCAGGTATGTAGCCATGTGCAGACCACCAAAGCACCTTAGAGGGGAGGATCATCCATACCATGCCAGCTTCCCCTTATACTTTGGCATTTTTGGCTCTGCCCAAAAATGTAGCCCTCAAAGAGTCTCCAGGACCCCTTAGGACTCTGCCCCTGTCCTTGGGGGAAACGGCTACATGTTCCTTCGGTATGGGCATCAATGTTGGCATACCAGAGTTGGTTCTTGTGGCTATCAGGTGGCTGGGGCTGCTAGAATCCGGGACACAACCACCTGTCCTGCCCCGACTGGCCCAAGACTTCCATCAGCTACTTGACCACAAGCTACTGAGAGTAGAAGCTATGGTTAGGACAGGTTCCAGGGAGTTCCTTCTGCGTGACGCCCTAGTGACTCATGGCTGGCACCATCTTTATAGGAGAGACCCAAGCCGAAGGTCCCCATCCTGCATTTCCAAGCTGCCCGGTCCCCCTTTGTCATCTGTGTGAAGCTGGTGAGTGTTGGCTCTGGTGGTGGGGCCCCTCAGTGCTTTCCCACTCTGACAAGTGACTAAAACAAAGGACACCAGAGCATAGCCCGCTTCCTGTATCCTTATTGTAAATCAGCTACAGTGGTATCTTGTTTGTGCCTTAGTAAGTAAGCTTGCCTGAAGATCAGGGTGCAAGGCCACACTAGTCAGCCGTGCAGTGGTGGCACACACCGTTAATCCCAGCAGCCACACTAGTTAGCCATAGAGGCCAGGTGGCGGTGGTATATATGTTTAATCCCAGCACTAGAGAGGAATCTAAGACTGGAGGAGACAGGTGACCATAAAAACACCCTGAGCTAAGTTAGAGGTGGGGGATGAGGTGGGCATGCCTGGTAACCCCCTTGTAAAGCTGTTCTCAAAGTCATTGTTCTGAGCCCAGCCACCACGTTCAAGCGCTGTGGCTCATGTTACCTGAAGGGCAGCCTTGCCCACATAGAGTAACAGCCTGGTGGTGACCAGTGGGGCCACAGGACCCTGCTTCGGTTCATCTGGTTTCTCTGCTTTTGGTCATGTGGACATAGGTGCCAAGCATCCTGTTTCTGTGGAAAACAAGGTTACTTGTGGTCAGTGTTACACAGAATCCCAGTCTCTCCAGGAAAGGAGTCCCCAACAACTGTGCCAAGCTAACAATGACGGGACAGCAAGGTTCTTGGTGGAGCTAGGGCTAACCTTTCTTCATCTGCTCTGGACACTGTTTCTTGGCTGGTCAAGCATGTGGCAGATTCCCTCTTGGGAGTCTGCTCTTCAGATATTCCCAGAACTCTTTAATGGGGTGACATTAATGGATTCGATGGTGATCCTGCATAGGAAGTTCTTTCTTATACAGAACGTCATGTTTTTTAACAGAAAGCATCCATCACAGTTGAGTTCACCTGGAAGGGATGTGTACTGGGCTGTGGAGGGCTAGTATGTCCTGCCCGTGGGACCTGCCCCTGGTCATCGACCGTGTGCAATCCTGATGGTCAGTAGCCCTGTCCGTCCATGGCTTTTCCTCACTGTAGTAAAATGGACCTGTCTTTCACTGAGAAGCTTCTGGGTGCAGGCTGAGGCAGAGCTAAGCCAGCCTTGTATCCCAGTCACTCTTGTCAAACTGTATCTGCTCACCGCTGGCCTCGGAGCCACCCACCATCCCGCTCCAGCTTTGGGTCCAGGGGAGTCTTATTCCTAAAGGTCTCATGGCAAGTGCTGGTAAGTTGTCTATTATTTGCTTGACTCCTTTTATTCTTGGATAGTTTGTCTCTCTCCAAGTCCTATGGGAATTTCTAGACATCTACCAGGAGAGACAGCATGGCCACCCTAAATGTCAGCAGCCGCAGGACAAGGTATTACCAGCTTCAAAGATAGTGCTGTCACCCTCTGTTACAGTGATGGATATGGTGGGCCCTCAGCAAAAGGTGCGGCTGTCCCCCACATGTGGGGCCATAGGTGGAACTCCAGCCTGTGTTTCAACCCGTGGCTTCCAATCTGTGACAGCTCATTTCCGGTCATTACAGGGGTAGGCCTGGGTTTTAGCCCCCCAGAAAGTGAGACACGTCTATCTGTCTGTGTCTCCTATAGAGTGGTGTCACAGTAGCAGATAACAGTCACACCTGGAAACGGGTATATGATACTGTGGGAAAGAAAGGCCCCTCCTTAGCTGTTTCCACTGCTTACCAAGCATCTTCTAGCAGTCTGTAGCATTTCTCTTAACACAGTAAGGAAGATGGACCTGCCTGTGATTGTGTTACATACTTTGGATATTCTTTGTGTGCATGGTATATTTGTGTATGCTAGGGGAGGTCAGAGGTTGACACTGGCTTCATCATCACTACTGAGACAGGTTCTTTCACTCAGCTCCCTGACTGAGCAAGACTATAGCAGGGAAGCAAACCATTGGGTTCTCCTGTCCCCGATTCCCCACTGCTGGCATGCAGGTGTATACCACCACACCAGCCTTCACAGTGGTGCCAGAGACTGAACGCAGGTCCGCGTGTGCGTGTGGCAAGCACTTTACTGAAGCCATCTCTTGTTCCAGAATTTTAATTTATAAGCTGATGGTATATTTTGCCGTTTCGAGTAACTTACATTATTTGACTTTGACCCTCATTCTGAGATGGATTACACGACCCACACCTATGACTAGGACTTCTGCTCTTTGTGATACAGTGAGAAGTTATTTTAATAGAAAGGTTGGTACATCTAATTGTCCCGGCCTCACATTAGGCAGCCCATTCTCTTGGTAAGGCTGAGATGATCATTTCTGCTCCCTGGTCTCTCTCTACCAGTTCCTGCTCACATTCCAGGGTCTCACCACAGAAGGAGGCTATTTTTACATTTCTTATTTAAAGGAACTTTTTGTATTGTGGCCCGTGACACACAGAAGATGGCTCGACACAGGTTAGCAACCACTGACCTGCAGGTCACATTTAGCCCTCCACCTCTTTTCGTAAGTATCTTTATTAGAAAAGAGGATGTGCGCTCACAGGGCAGAGTTACAGCCTCCTTAAGAACAGTGCAAATGTTCCAAGGGGCTGGACGAAGTGTCCAAAGTACCCTATGTAGGATGTGCAGGCTTCAAAGAGCTATGGGCAGTAGCAGGACACCATATGAGGCTCACAGCATGGCCCCAGCTGGCAGAACACCTTCCTGGCATCCATATAGCACTGGGTACACACAGTAGGACCGTCTGCTTGCCACTCATGTGGCCATCTGTGAACAGATCCCAACTCTTTGTCCTTATGACTGATTCCTCTCAGCACCTATGTGGTACAGATTATTGGGTCTTGTCAGGGCCATGGCTTGTGGGAGTTACTGGCCATGCTGCCGTGAGCTCCATTCCTCTGGTTTGTCCTAGAAGAGAAGTCTGGCTGTGACACCTCCAAAGGCCACCCATGTTGGATGGCCTGTTTCTACCCTTTTGGAGAACTATCTTGCTGTGGTGTGGGGGTGTCTCACTTGAAGCTGAGCACCACTCATCTGGTGGGAATTTAGATTCAGCCTGCCATGTTTAGAACTGGGATTTCTCCTCTACAACTCCGGTGTTAACCCTTGTTGGCTTGTGTCCTGCAGACACCCCTTCCCTTCATGTGTCCTCTCACTCTCCCAGAACATGTTAAACACAGGAGCATCCAGTGAGTAGTTCCGTGTTCAACAGTGTTAAGTCTCATGGGGGCAGACTCTGACCTACCCTGCCCCAAGCCCGATAACTTCTCTGAATATGGGGAAGGGAAAGGAGGGGAAGTGAGAGGGAAAAGAGGAAGGGCGGCAAGTGTGGCCACTGTGGACATTTCTGCTTTTTCAGGCAGCTCACTCAGGTGTTTCACTTTTACTTTTTGTTTTTTGAGACAGGGTTTCACTTTGTAGCCCTGGCTGTCCTGGAACTCACTCTGTACCAGGCTGTCCTTGAACTCAGATCTCAGAACTTGAGATCCGCCTGCCTCTGCCTCCCAAGTGCTAGGATTAAAAGTGTGCGCCACCACTGCCCAATTCACTCGAGTGTTTCTGACCACCGGTAGCAATGATGGGACAAGTAGGGTCAGTGTCACAGCCCAGCTCAGAGGCCTGTTGTGCTGGCCCAAAGACAGATGCCTTAAGAGAAACAAAGCGGTCCCTCCCACATCCTACCGGATGCCACTAGTTGGGCTGTTCTTTAGCAAGATTATGGTCCTTGCTCCCTTTAGGGACTGGGGGTGGGGGTGACAGGTAAGAAGTCACGGGGTGGGCACTTGGTAGATCTTGCAGAGATGAGACAAAGTTCCCTGAATAGCAGGAAGGAAAGGTAAACCAGAGAGTGCCTTATCTGCCTTCTGGAGAGGGGCAAGGCCAGACAGCAAGGGCACCTCTCAGTACCTCACCCTACCGGTGGCCAACACCAGTCCTAGCTGCAGCTCTGACTAGCCTTTGGTTTCCCTCTCCCCTAATCAGCAGAGGGAGGGTAAGTGGGCCCAGTCTCAGTCCCTGCAGCAGTCAAGAGCACGAGGAAGCCTGACTGAGCTGGATCTCCTCTCCCCACAGGACCTCACAGGGGGTGCATTTGAAGACAACCTGAAGTCACTGAACTTGCAGGAAGGCCGGGACTTCGTTCATTTCAGCTGAGTTTGCCACCAGGTGTCTGCACTGCACCCACTGCAGGTTCTGAGCCTTGTCTGCTCTACTCCCTTCCACAGACAACTGTCCGTCACTCTCTGCTTCCTCCAGCTCCTCCCCTCACGTTCTGTTCCTTAGTTTTCACCCTTTCATTTCTGCTACATAACTTGAGGTCTTAATCTTCTAAGCACCACTTTAGGCAAATTTCCTGTGTTTGGTAACTTGGACCAACTGGTTTTTTTGTTTGTTTTTTTAGTTTTTCGAGACAGGGTTTCTCTGTAGCTTTGGAGCCTATCCTGGCACTAGCTCTTGTAGACCAGGCTGGCCTCGAACTCACAGAGATCCGCCTGCCTCTGCCTCCCGAGTGCTGGGATTAAAGGCGTGCGCCACCACCGCCCAGCTCCCAACTGTTAATTTTTAAAATACTACTTTACCTTTTAAAAGCAGGAGTCTATATTATCAAAGTTGCTTCTAGGTTCTAGAAATGTCTATTAAGCCAAACTTTTCTTCATTTTTCAAACCATCTGTACTAGCTACTTTTCTCATTAGTGTGACCAAATACCAAACAAGCAGCAAATTCTGGAGGTATATATAGGCTTGTGGTTTGAGGGTGGTATGGTCCGTCAAGGTAGGGAAGGCATTGACGGTAGGCATTGTTCTTCACAGCTGGGACTCTTCACCCTCTCATGTCTTTAGAGAGAGGACCAGGCTCTAAACCCCATCATCCAGCAACCCACGTCTTCACAACAGGCCCTAATTCCCACAGGTGCCACCACCTGGGAGTGAATGATTAAACTCAAGCCTGTCGGGCATTCACATTAAATGATAAGATTTAGCCTCTCAATTTAAGTGCCCATCCCAGATGGTAGGCTGGCTTTGCTCTTCCTGATTTGCTTTGTTACTTACTGAGGTAGTGTCTTACTGTGTAGCCCAGGCTGGCCTTGAACTCTCCCTCCCATCTCCACCTCCTGAGCAGTGGGCTACAGACGTGTGCCCGGCTTAAACATTGTTAGTACATCCACATATGTGCAAGGTTTAAAGCTCTGACATCTTCCTGCTCAAGGAAACGTGGGCATCTCCCTCTCCAAGGCTGAGCCTTCCCAAGTTTTGTCTGTGTCCCTCCAGGTTAGTCTTGTCTTTAGATGGGGACTTGAATGCACTCCCGTTGTGTCAACAATCTCCTTATTGATGTTTGTCACACCTGTCCTTTTTCTCGTCTTTCATGTTAAGACTCTCTCTGCTGCTGCTGTGATACCTTCCTCGGCAGCTCCTGGCGGGTCAGCAGGCTCACCTGGTGTCTGGGTTTCCTACACACCACCCTCACTCAGATCACAGGACTAAGACCCCTTTTCTACCTCACTTGTCCATTTGAAGAAATTTTACCTGTATATTAAACCCCATATTAGCTACCATGCATTTCTCCCTTGCTTGGTATCCTGACGGAAACTGCCTGCATGAGGTCATTTTCTGCTGCTTAAAGCTCACCCACAGAAATCACTGCTTTTCAGCTGGGGATCAGGGATACTCTGACTGCACTGAATACTACAGCCCACTTTCTTGAATGGTAGTTACACTGTGGTAGTCTGAATGTGTTTGGCCCCCAGAAGCTCATAGGGAGTGGCACGATTATGAGGTGTGGCCTTGTTAGAGGCTGGATGGACAGGTGACGCGGGCCTTTAATCCAGACCTTGAGGCTGGTGGTCATATCTTTAATCTGGGCCACACCTTCTTGAGGAAGTGTGTCACTGTGGGGGTAGCCTTGAAGGTTTCATATACTCAGGACACTCACTGCCCAGTGAGTCAGTCAACTTCCTGCTGCCTGCAAGATGTAGGATACTCACCTGTTTCTCCAGCGCCTGCCTGCTTCCTGCCATGAGGGACTGAATCTCTAAACTGTGAGCCCCTGCAGTTATATGTTTTGAGATGCCATAGTCATGGTGTCTCCTCATAGCAATAGTTAACCCCACCGAAGACACACACCATACACATGATTTAGCCAAGCTGACAATTTTTCAGTATAATGCAGATCTTACTGTCTTCCTCAACTCCAATGTCCGCTGGTGAGCTGGTAACCACTGGACTACCATCTGCCTTCTTAACAGTAATTTTACCCACCCAGGGCACCTGGTGCCAGCTCAGATCCCACCCCCACCTCCAAGGACTGGTTGTCGAACCATGAACATTCCTAGTCTGGGAAGCAGGGATACAATATGGACTTACCAGCTGTCCTCCTGGGTAGCTTCTGACCTTGCAGAATTCTGTCTTGAGCTGGGGCCTCATCCATATAGGACCTTTGCTTTTGCTATTTTCTCAGAAGCTCTTCTGTTTTGTTTCCTAATCTGTCTTTTAATTTTTTTTTAGTATAAATATTGCACGTGAGTGTAGTTTCTGCTGAGGCCAAAGATACTGAACTCCCCCGAAAATGAACTTACAGGTGGTTTTATGGGTGCTAGGGATGAGCTCAAGTTGTTTGCAAGATTACTCTTTCTTAACCACTGAGCAAATCTCTCCAGCTCCTATCCTAATCTCTGACCATTTCTACCTCTTAACTTTTTTGCAGGGAGAATTGTTATTTATGGGGAGGGATAGGGTTTCCTATATCCCAGCCCAGCTTAAAATGCTCTGCATGCCTCCTCAGAGATGATCCTTCCAAGTGCTAGGATCCTAGGCACCTACCACCACACCCCGTTTATATGGTGATGGATCATCAACCCAGGGTTTCTTCTGTTTTTGTTGGGACAGGTTTTTCTATGTCATCCTGGAACTCACTATGCAGACCAGACTAGCGTCAAACTCAGAGACCCGCCTGCCTCTGCTGGGATGAAAGGTGTGCACACCATTCCTGGATGTTTCTTCTTCACTCAACGCAGTGAAGACCCAACAAGAGCCAGAGTTCCTTCCATGAGGACAGATTTCCGTCTACCAGTGTTGAGAACACAGCTCGGTAGAGTTCCAGCTTTATTAGGTTTCTTGTGGCCTTTTATCTACTCTGCCCTGCTACCACCAAAATTTCATCCACTAGAAAGAAGCAGGGACATGGCCTTGGGCACACACAGCCTCTATGCTCTCTCTCTCTCTGAGGTTAAAGCTCAATGAGCAACATTCAGCAGGCTCCCAGGCCTCGGATATAGACAGATCAAAGAGGCAGGCATGAGGCTACCACAGCAGGACAGGTAATGTACGTCCTGGGACAGGAAGTGCAAAGGATCCAGGCCCGGGGACCAGAGCTGTCCCATAGTCCCACAGGGACACTGGATTCTGAGGATCTCTTGCTCAGACCATGATAGGACTGCTGGGGACGTGGCTGGCTCAGCATGAGGAGGAGAGAGCTCCTGCCACTGCATGTGCCCAGCACTTCCCACTCCACCAGGGTGTGAGCATCTGCCATGCTACAGAAATCACTAAGTGCCTAAAACCCAGCAAAACACCAGGAGCGGAACCCACGGTGGATCTTCACCTAAGTCCCAGAGATGGAGGCTGGGCTGTATGGAGCATGATTTAATGGGAAGCACATGGTGTTAGGACAGCAGAAGTACGGGCAGACCAGGCCACCAGAGGACAGCATGCATGAAGTCACTGCGCTCTGTGGATGGCCTCCCAGTCCAGCTAGCAGCATGTGCCACCTTTCTCAGGTGTGTGGCACCAAGTTTCCATGATGGTAAAGCTTGTTGTAGAGCCTCGGGGCAGGGCATCCCAGCTAGGCAGGCAACGGTTCAGCTTCCAGGAGCAGGCTGTAAAGATACACAGCAACGTCAGGCTAGTCCCCACCCTCTGATGTATGGCTAAAGGCTGCCATGTCCCAGGATCCTGGCAGGTTGGTGGACAGAGTAGGTTGCTAAATGTTCTTTCCATTGATAGGGAACTTTGAAGTATGTGAATGAACAGAGTTGAAAAACTCAAGTTCGCTCTCCATATAGGAGACTGAGACTACATCCTGGCTCCCCAAGGGGGAGGCCCTGGGAGAACTCAGGCACACAAACCCAGCATAGCACACACAAGAGAGGGAAAGAACAAAATCCTTTCCAGCATGCGAGGTAACAGGAGCTCAGGGTTTAAAGCTAGATCATCAAAGCAAAGCAAACAGGAAAAACAGTAGCTGACTGTCAAGACTGTGTCAGCTAAATACCAAGGCCTCAGGGTTAGGGCAAGCCCGGCTCAGAGGTCAAGGTCAGGGATGAGGCAGTAGGCAGGGAAAGGGTGCTGGCCCCAGGGTAATCAGGGACAGAAGAATAGAACAGTGAACAAGTTAGCAGGATGGGAAATGAAATCCAGATAAAGAAACTGTAAACAGGAAGGTCAAATAGGAAACAGAGACTATGAACATAAACTTGTCAGTAATTAGAGTAAACATGAAACACTAATTAATAAAGACCTGTAAATGACACAAAGGCATAATTTACTGTACAGAAGACAAGCTAACCAGATGTCACCACTAACAGAGGCAGAGGGGATGTCAAGTGTAGGAACACCTAGTTAATAACAGCTCCAGAGTGCACCCCCCAAAGTTCAGACATAATTAAAGGACAGCCGAGACAAACGCAAACACTGCTTCGTCAGTACTGATTGGAGTAAGACGACAGAATCCCCACCATGGGGGCCTGCAGCAAGGTAGGAAAGTCATCTCTGTCAGGCACACCTGAACTGTCTTCTAGGAAGGGATGTATCCCACCGGCCAGGAAAAGCCCAAGGGTGGAGAAGGACTGGCTGACTGGAATGTTCCTCTGTCCCTGACTCACCTAGGACTCCAGCATGAGGCTGGGCTTCTGAAGGCTTGGGTTCTATAAGGGCAGGGAGCCCATGTCCTACGCCACAGCTAACATCCGACAGCAGCTTCCACAGCCAAGCACAGGCAATCAAGAGGACTGAGGCCCCAGTGGGACAGAAGTCCAGGGAGACACGGAAGCCTGAGGGGACAGGTGTCCTCAGAGTACATCCAGGCAGGGATGATAAGAGAACGGACTGTGGGACCCGGTTTACTTTAGACAGGAGCTCAGAACAGCAGACAGCACAGGCCCCATGTATCCTCAGAATACTTGTTACCTTTGTAGCCAGCTGGGGTCTGGGCACACCAAGGAGGTCACACAGGTGATTCCGCTGCCCTCTTACAACTGGAAGCTCTGCGTCCCTGGGGAGTAAAGCATTTGAGTCCCCGAAGCCAACATGGTTCAGTTTCTTCCCCCAGAGTAGATACCAGGGCCCATACCCTGTTCTAGGAACATACAGAAGAGACGTGACCTCAGGCTAAGAGGCTTCTGCATCTTCATTAGAACGCAGATGCTGTTGATTTCATTGAATAGAAAGGTACAAAGCATGTTTTGTAAGGGTTAGTAAAAATAGTCCTCTGTAAACCAGGTGTCATATTCTTCAGAGTTCCTAACACCCATGTAGGGCAACTCACAACCACCTGTAACCCCGGCTCTAGGGGGATTTGGACATCTTTTTTTGGCCTCGGCAGGCAACTGCACTCACATATGCAAGCCCTGACACATGCATACACAAAGTTCTCCCTCCCTCTCTGCTGTCCTTTCTCAAGATGAGTGTTTTAGGAAGTTGGAAGCAATGCCCATTGCTTCCACAATGGAAGCAGTGTCTCATCAGAAGGCACCGTGCTAAGTTTCTACTGACAGCAAAGACCTTGAAATGCATTCTGGCCTTCCAGGCCCCCACAGCTCTCACCGAGGCAGGAAGGCCACATCCTAGCATGAGCTCCTATGGAGATCGCTGTTCTGGGGAGCATGCATGAATATACATCACAAACCCTCACTTGCTACCACCCCAACAGACCTGCCAGCATTTGAGATCAGCAATACCCCTCTCCATCAGTCTGAGTGGACAGTGTCCGCAGTAGCAGTAACTTGGCCTACCTGGCTGTGCCTCCCAAATAGTATATCTGCTACAGGGGACAAGTCAGCTTGGTAGTACATACATATGTGACTATGAGCAGCTGTATGTATGTAATCATGTATGCAAACATGTATATGAATGTGTACAGTGCCTGGATCACAGGTCATATAAGGTAACTGCTTCCAGGCTCAGGCTGGAATGTCTGAGAATCACACCCACAGGCTGTACACCCCACCACCACCATCTCCTCTCCACTTCTTGACTTTGAAGACAAGTCTCTAAGGCCATTAAAACAGGAAAGATCACAGGGCAGTAGGAAAATAAAAGTTGCTAACTGACACCCACTTGGTGGCATCCTGATGACCCTGTATTCGAGTTACTGAAGAACACCAGCTTCTGAGCCACTCTGCCCACCTTGCTTACAAGAGAAAAGCAGTCACACATTAAACATTTTCCTGAAGCTCCCAGGATGTGTCTGTCCTCAGCCCTATGTGAAGCTATTGAGGGTTAGAAATGTCTCCCCTCTTTCCATCAGAAGCTAGGGGGACAGGAGAGAAGTGGCAGCAGCTCAGGCAGCCCCTACTTACCAGGCTGTGTCACTGAGCACAGACATGACGTCATCAAGCACGCCTGCATCCACCAAGTCACTATAGGTGAGCACCATCTCGTACAGCTGGCTTGCTGTGGCCTTCCGGATCTGGGACAAGAACAGCAGGTCAACAAGAGGAAAACCCATCACCACTGGGAAATGAATCTGGCCACAGCCCAGACACTTCTGCCATCACAGACATGCAGCAGAAGGAAGATCAGCAGCCTCTGTCAGAAGGGACTCCTGCCTGGGATCCGTCCCTCTTGCTAGTGTCCTGTGACAAACTGCTTCAGATGGCCTTGTCTACCCTGTAATGTGCCTTTTTGAGGGTGAGCGGTGGGCCATCCCACTCTACCTCAAAAAAAAAAAAAAAAAAAAAAAACCTACTGTCCTTTGCAGAAATTCCCTGACTACTTAGGGGAGAAATTTCCCTTTTGGGATACTTAGAGAGTTCTTGGGTAGGAGGGGAATCCTAACCCTAGGCTGTTGACACCCCACCCTCAGCAATGCTTCCTTATGCTCACCCTGCCCGGTACCAGCACCCACGTTGCTTTCATACGAACGCCAGCCACTTGACTACCATGACCCAGGGCTGCCTACGCCTGGAAACCATCTCACCCCTGTGTTTACTTCTAAACCTACTTCAAAGTTACACCAACACACACTCGTCTAAAGGCCATACATGAGCACAGACCTTTAGATGGCCTTGAGGTGGGGCGGACACACTCACCACAGGGAAGGGGTGGCCAAGGAGGATGAACAGCTGCAGAAGGACCTTCTGTCGCACATCACCATTGAACTGCACCATCCCACAGAGCCTGCAGAAAGCCCACAGGGGACATGGAGCCGTGCCATACTCATGTTACCCAAGGACCCAAGACACATCTGAGACCCAACAAGTACACAGCATAAACCTTGAGCCATGTGTTAATGTGTGTGCACCTATATACACACCTGTGTGTTGTGTGCTAGTGCGCTCCCATGTGGTATATGGTCATGTATCCAAGTGTGCACTGTATACTAATGTGTTCCCATGTACTTGCCTATACATAATGAGATCTTTGTGTTAGCATGTGCCTGTGTGTATCTATCAGATTGCCTACACATGAACAGTGTTCTGTGCCAGTGTGTACTTGCCCAGATGCCTGAACTGGCATAGTTGTATTCACATTCCTTGGGCATGTGAGAGGTAGAGCTTTCCTGCAGGTTGACCCTCCAGACTCACAGCAATCATCTGACTTTTCCCTTCCTCACTGAACACTCCAACAGTCCATATTTTAAACAGCTTTGTGATCAAAATTGTATTTCCCACCAAGTCCCTCCATCTCCACCCAGGAGCACTTAAAACTCACACTGCAATGCTCGCCCGAAGCTTCTGGACATCTTTTGACTTCCTGATTTCTTCCTTACAAAGTGTGAGCAACT